AATTCCCTCCTCTGATTAATATATTTTATCAAATAAATTAATCAAACCTATTCCAAGTTTCCCTGATTTCCCCCATAATCAGCTTGGGGGGGGGGAAATGGGAAAAGGTGTACAGATTCCGTCTAGGAATGAGAAAAGTGGATGAGAAGTGGCGCTTGCCAGAAGAAGGTGAGAGATGGAGAGCAAGAGATCTGTGTGATCCAGCCGGTGCTGGCAGGAGAAAGAGGGGAGAGGGGGGACGGGTGGGAGGAAGAGAGGGGGAGGACAGCGGAAGACAGCCACGTGGAGGTTTCTCTCAGTAGAGTAGCAAGAGGAAGCGGAGCCCTGGGGTTAGATAAGTAGAACCAGGCCTGTACAATGACAGAGTGTTTGAACTGGCGGTCTGCTTTAAAACACAGGAAGCGACCGTCGGCACAACAATGGCCTTACACGGACAAACAGCATCTCTGTCCGTTGACAAACAGAGCTCAGTGTGCCTATCTCTCTCTGTCTCTCTTAGCCGAGCGGTGTGAGGAGGGAGAACGAGATCGGAGCTAATAAACTCTTGTTTGCTGTGATATGAGAGACAGCATATGAGCGTCATAATGGGATTCTCATAGAGAAAGAGTTGTTTAATCTCAACGGGAATTTTTCCTCAAACACACCGTAGCCTTGCCTCTCCTCAGTATCTAAAGTTCACGCTGACCTTTGAGGGAATCATTCTTCTCTTGATGCTTGAGCATGTGTGAATACAATAAGATGAGCCTGCCTCCACCTGTGTGTTCTCCTCCCTGCGTCGCCTCAGCTAACATCGTACCAGACCCAGAGTGCAGGAATGCCTGGAACCAAGCCAAGTCTGTGCTAGAGATCATCCGTCAACCCAGTCCAGATCGTCCCTGAGTCCAGCCTGGGAATTTACAGCTGCCGTCGCAAAACACAGCCCAGAGAGAGACAATAGCACCTAATACACATGCACACACGTACAGGCCTTTGAAATCTCAACTGAGCATGCAGCTGTAATAATAAGTATTACGTGTAAGAGACATATGAGCTTGGAGGACAAAGAACAGTCTCTCCTGACAACCTCCTGGACAAAGAAAGCCTTTTTGTGCTCTAGCCTCATATACACGGACATATTTCGTCATTATGGGGAGCTCAGGCAAAACAAAAGACAAGGAAATTGAAAAGGGAAAGTGATTAATCACATATCGATATCATTTCGTAGATCATAAACTTTGATCTTAAAAATTATTTTTAAAATATTTGTTCATAACATTATTATTATATTATTTTTTTATAAATGATTTTTATATTATATTTCTTGGGCTAAAAAACATTTATTTACAGAAAATAAAAGTATCCATTTTCTCTCCATTTAATGACTTGAGATAATAAAGATTTCTCACATACTTTTTTTCTTTCCTACAGGAAGCCATCCAGAATTACAGCTGACTGTAATGGCATGAGGGCGAATAAAACAGTGAGCGGAACTGTCAAGGTGACTGGCTCTTTGTAAACAGGTCAGCGGAAGCCGAATCACTTGGCTTGATAAATACCGATTCTAAGAACAACCAATGCAGGCTTGCCTTCCTGTTGGAGGCGGTGGCTTTTAGGCCTACATGGTCTTATTTGTGCGGCTTTACTTGTCTTACATAAGTAACACATTTTCTCTTTCAGATCAAGATTTACTTCGACATTTGTGTTTAATTGTTCCTAAGCCTCTCCTTCAATCTCTGATGGCGCTTTTAAGTTCGTGCTTAAGTCACATAACAGTAATCCGGTCCCTGGACGGAATTAGTTGCCATATGAAATTTCTCAACAAGAGGCTTTTGGCTAAAGGAATAAATAAGAAGTAAAACCTTGAGCTTGAAGTTTGGATAAGCCTCTAACGCTATAATCGAAACATCTGTTATCTTTAAAACAAGTGACATTGTAATTCCCGAAAAGACAAAGACTCAATCTCTTCATCTCTCTGAATTCTTCGTAAAAATGTGATGAAACGGAGAGAAGGGCAATTTAAAAGTGGTTTGATTTGGGCAACGCAAAGTGTCAAACTCCCGAGAAAACCAGAACTGATTTTCTAAGCCAACGCTGTATTGGGTTACAGGCCCAATGGTTTTATTTGGACCCCATTCAGTCCCATTTACAGAATCCAGTCATGTGATCAGTTACATCATCAATAATTGTCTAAAACGCCGCTTACCATGTGAGCCAAAACAGTAGCGCTTTGATGGGGAAGCTGGCTCTTTAAACCACGCACACACTCCACACTAACAGCGGGGAAACCCAATCCTTGCATGCTGTTTCACCACTCAACTTTTACGTCTTCTACATGAAGGCTGAAGAGCTTGTTTGGAGTACTAATTAACTCAAAGCTGTTGTATATTAAGAGCACTGGGCTTTTTTTTGTTGTTGAGCTAGCTCTAATGAAAACAGAGTGCCAGGGAACTGCATTAGCAAGCCGCCTCCTCTCGCTTCCCATTGCATCCTACTCTTGTCTTCCGACTTCTTCTTCTTTACGACAAGCTGTGGCCTCTGGAGACAGAAGTTAAATGGGTCACATAGGGAGGCAATGGTAATGATTTATATGGAAACAAAGTCAGAGAAGATAAAAAGCATGATAAGAGAGTACACATCCTAAGCCTGACTTTCTTAGTGTCTCTGTTTTTGGTGGTGTTCTGGTATAAACATCTGTGATTACAGTGTAACAGCCATTAAATGCAGCAGATGGAGACTGTCTTTTCTGTTATAATCTTGGACAAGAAAAGGGGGATCATAGCTCCATAAACTACAGTCGAGATATTTTTCAAAAAGTCTTCAATGTCACATGATCCTTCAGAAATCCTTATAATATGCTGATTTGATGCGAGATAAATATTTCTTATTATTACTGATTGTCCTGCTTAATATTTCTTTGGAAACTGTGATACTTTTTTCAGGACTGACAATCTTTGATTAACATTACTTATTTGAAATATTTTGTAGCATTATAAATGTCTGTCACTGCGCAATACAATGTGACAGTTAACATAATGCTACACCTCTATTTGTACTTTGACAACAGCTTAGTTAGTCATGCTACTGGAAAAAAAATATCTTATGTTAACATAGCAACTTCAATTAGCTACTCCTCAGTGCACTGCAGGAATGACAGTATAGCATAGCCCAGATGCTCAGGATGAGCTCCGTCACTAGTTGAGAATATCCAAGCCCAGCAGCCTCCACTCCTAAAGGTAATTAAACTGTTCACACGAACTCTTACTCCACTGCTACCGACTGAACACACAGCAAGCATGTAGGGGCCTGTCTACTGGAAAGCGAAGAGTGGTACTTCTCACACACCCAGCGTGGTAGAGTGGTAGTAGCACAGTGGCTAGTTCTGCGGGGCTCTTCAACAGCGCGCGCCTTTAACAGATTGGCCTTTCTCTTGAGAAGTGCACTTGAAAGAGGTTTTACTGCCGAGCTATAAATCTGTCATGCTTCGGGCTGTGTAAATAAGACAGCGGTTTGTTTTTACCTGACACATCTAAGCAGAGAGAGAAAGAAAGGCTGATGGTTAACCTCACAATGATAGGTAGAGCACTGAGAAGAAAACCGGCCTGGATTCCTTTCTGAGGGCCTCAAGCTCAGAGCTTTTGAAGTGGAAGTCAAACGTAGAGGAAGATATGAGATGTGAAATAGAGAGTGAAAAGTGAGGACTGAGAAGTAAAGAATGAAACAAGTGTGTAAAATGTGAGAGAAGACCAGCTGACATAATGGTGCATTGGGTGTGAATCTGGGAGAGAAAAGAGGAGTGGGGAACATTGTACCTGTCTCCAATGAATGTGCAAAAGCAAGTGGGAAAAAAAGAAGAGAAGGAAGAAAGTATGTCCAGGCACAGGCTACTCTTGTTGCCCTTGGCTTTTATGTGTGTACGGTGTGTGTAAAAGACCTTGACCACTGCCACTGACCAGCTTGTGTACATCCATGTCTGCGACTGGGTGGTCCGCTAACCTTGCTTGATGGAGCACCACATACCACACAAGCCAATGGCTCTCTCACTCACAAACACTCATTCTTATGCTGCATCTTTTCCTCCTCTTTCTTCACATATACGTCAAACATATTTATGGTGCTCTTGTAAGCATTCTCTTTATTCTCCCTCCTTTCCATTTTTTCATTTCACATAATTGCTTAACGGAGAGGGGAAAAAGCCCAATCCACTTTGTGGTGAGAAAACTAATTTGGGTGACCACAGTGTGTACTTTGCAACTAATCCAATTCAATTATTTTTAAGCAAAGAGCAAACTTTCAATGAGCCTATTCTTGAAGCACACTTATAAAGAGAGACCTTCAAAAGATCACTCAAACTGACTTAAAGCAAGCAGCAAATATTTGCAAAAGCCAAGTTTTGCACAATTTGTGTGTCAACAAGTTATGTTTACAGGATCATCGGCCGCAATGGAGTTAAGCAAATGAACGCGAAGTGATTTTTCCAATATCGGACAATATGAAACAGGGCTAACAGTAGCGCCTGTGCTCTTTTTCCAAAGCCGCTGCCACGTCACCGTGCTGGGACGGTGTAATTTCAGAGGCATTTATCACTGGCTTTCATGTCTCAAACCCTTAGGGCACTTTTCCACAAAACATGCAAACAGGCACCACTTGGTGTCATTAAGCTTTCTCTCATTTCTGTTTTTTCTCTTCCTTCATTAATTAGGGAGTGATAATTATTCTACCCATCTATAGCCCCTTCCGAATTACCATTGGCCAATTATCCTGATTGGTGACAGTTGTAATGTGATTGATGATAGCTGTAAAAACAAAATAGCGGTTTTTGACAGAATGAAGACATGAAAGCCGAGCTTTTTCCCTTCCTTCATTAATTAGGGAGTGATAATTATTCTACCCATCTATAGCCCCTTCCGAATTACCATTGGCCAATTATCCTGATTGGTGACAGTTGTAATGTGATTGATGATAGCTGTAAAAACAAAATAGCGGTTTTTGACAGAATGAAGACATGAAAGCCGAGCACTGACCTGGATCTGCTGCTGGAGGAGATTGATTTTGTGCTGTTGCTGCAGAAGTTGCTGCTGTTGTCTGGCAATCTGCGAAAGCAAAATGATTTGTTTAGTTGAACATCGCTAGAAACCTTCAACCTAAAGCATTAAAGAATGTATGTTATCATAGTCTATGAGAGAGCAACTCGATTTATTGTACTATGTATTCATGCAGACAGATAATATATGCAATCAGAGCTTGTGGGTAACATCTCTCGTCCACCAATTGAACCTAATGACTGTAATCAGAGGACTGCTAATGTGTATTATACCCAGCTCCAGGCCTGGCTGGGGTGATGCGCCGCGGGGTGAAAGACTGGCATGTTTATGCAACCTAGGAGTGGTCGGGTCTGCCCAAGGGTGGGCTCTTAAGCGCATTGCATCCTCCCTCTCTCTCAATTTCTCCCAGCCCCTGCAGACTCCCCCGTTCCTCCTCCTCAGTTAGCCTGACAGCCTAGGTTTAAGTGTCATTTAATTTTCATTTTCAAATATAATTACAAAGTGTTCACTGTAAGATATCACCCGTCTGCAAATGTGTCAGGATTAATTTGTGCTGGCTTCTTCACTAGTGTCAACAGTTAATTACTGTGTCGTGTCTGGATGGCTAAATGACATCCTAACTTCAGGCTCCCCCCTTCCTCCCTCCCTCTTTTTCTCTTTCTCTCTCTACTATCCTCTCCCTCCATTTTGTTTGTCATTAATGGGAAGGGATGCATTTTTGGACATTTGCAAAACAGTACATTCTTCAAATAACTGTTTATTAAAATCAGCTGAGCATACACTGAATATACAATCCTCATAAAGTTGAACATTAATGTGGAGAGTCGGGTGACATTAATATGATGAATTAGAAAACGTGCATCCATTTCAGGTAAATGCAGACAACATTAATATGCACCTATTCATCTGCATAATAAATTGACAGCAATTATATGGTTTCGCTATAAAAATAGTGAAGATGTAGATGGATCTTGTGCGACATTAACGGAGCTCATGAGCTGCTGACGCGTTCAGTACACCTCATTTGCTTGATCTACACATGCCTTTCGTGCAAAGTTTGATCTAATAGTGATCAATTTCCCTACCAATTTACATGCTTCCATATTTTATCAGTTATATACAATAACAGTAACTCTGTGTTTCCGTCTTCAAGATGACAGAACCCGATTTATCAAGGACTGAAACATCAAGCCATAAACTAAATTAAAATATCCAATCGCTAAATAGAAGAACTCACTCCCTATTTAAAAGCAAATAAAAGCAATCTTGTTTTAAGTGCCTCCTCTGATAAATGAGGCTGCAAAATGAGAATACGTGATGCATGGCTGATAATATCTTCATTAGACTGGCTTTAAACACAACAACTGGATTCATAGGACATATACAATATGAAGCCAGTAAGAGATTTGAATGTGTATTTGAATTGGAATGGCAAGAAAAGGAATTCACTGAATTGTAATTCAAATATGCATTCTGAGAAATAAAGTTATTTCACACAGGTCCACAAACGTTAATTTAAAAAAAAAATAACTATGATGAAACTAAATTCTACAGGTGAAATTTCAAATATATGCAACTTTTTTCAAAACATTTACACTGAAATTCAAATATTGTCCTGACTAATTTTGCAATTCTAGTTAAAAATTACAGTCTAAATTTCTTCGAATTTTTATTCATTTTCATTCTACTTCTTTACAATCCAAATTTAAACTGCACTTTGCTACCTCAATTCCAATTACATTCAAATTGTTTCTGAATTTAATTCTCAATGGCGCTCCACCCTGGTTTGCACATTCTCACCTGCTCTTGCTGTTGGCGTGCCAGCTCCATTTGCTGACATTGTTTCTCCATCTGTGAGGCGGCCAGTTTCTTCTGCTCATCATGGGCAGCCAGGAGCTGCTCTCGAAGGCTGATGAGCTGTGTGATCATGGTGGAGAGCTGTCGCTCCTTCTCTGCGAGACTTTCTGGAGTACCTGCAACAGAACACATGTAGTCAAACACAAGGAACCAAAAGGTAAAAGAGAAAAAAAAGGTCTTCTCTCCATGACCCTGTGCACTCTCTCAGCGGTGAGAAAAAAAGTTTTACATCTCATGTTACATCACCTCTTAAATATAGTCTCTATGAAGGCAAAGGTCAGTTTTCCTAGAGACAGAACAGCAAACAAAGCAAGTAGTGGAAAACAGAGCCTTGTTAATTGATCTACGCTTCGGAGAAATAAAATTCCCACAATCGAGAAGTTCCAGGAATCAGCAAGTTTTTTTTTTCCCTGAGAGGACAGGACAGAGCTAGCAAATGGTGGGCATCAAAACAGCTACAGTACGTCTCAGTCCTGAATTCCTGAAGACCACAGAAGGCGGTCCGGGAGGGAAACTCTAGCTCCTTCAAAACCAAGAATGGTATCATCCAAATAGCCTGATAATGGAAAGGCTTCATTAAAAGTGCGAAGGTCGCAAGTCCTGCTCTCTCTTTCCACTTTTG